GAGATCGATCGTGGGGTCGATTGTGAGATCGATAGTGGTACAAGCAATTCGATCGACAATGGGATCGAATGCGAAATCGCCATTGACTTCGATAGTGCCATTGGTAGTGAGACCGGTTGTGAGATCAATTGTCAGATCAATCGTGAAATTGATTGTGAGATCGATGGAGAGATGGATTGTCAACCAATATTGAGATCGGTAGTGAGATCGATCAAGTGAGACCGATTGTGAGATCGCTTGTGAGATCGATGGTGGGATCGATCGTGAGATCGATAGCGAGGTCGATGGTGAAATCAATAGTGGGATCGATAGTGACATAGATAGTGATGGATTGTGGGACCGGTTGATATATGGATTGTGAGATCGATTGATCGATGGATTGTGAGATCAAAAGTGAGAGCGACAGTGAAAACGATAGTGGACTCGATTGTGAGATCGATAGCGAGATCGATCGGGTGAGATCGCCCCCGAACTTCCTCATCCCACGGAGGGTGCTCGTATAGGTATTTCCGCCGACCGTTCGCCGCCAAGTAGATGATGCCAACCTCTCAGCCCCTTGAAAGCGAAACCCTTCTTGAAGCGACACAAACATCCTCCGATATGATGCTTCAATCCACGGCCCCAAGGAATTCCCGACCCTTCCCCCAGGGCAGGCTTGAGCACGGAAAAACGCATGGGTTCGAAACAATCATATCGCTGGCGATCTCGCCCTTGCCGTTGCTCCTGGTGACACAATTAAAAAAACGCCCTGGACCTCTCCTAGGGCGCGTCCCGAACAGAACGTCAAAGAGGATGAAACCGCGGCCGCGAGGGCACGCCAGAAAGATCAAAACCGCCCCGACACAGAAGCTCGAACCTCGAATCTCGATCCACTGGGCAAGCCCGCTCTGGAGCGTCCCAGTGGTGTTGAGGCAGAGGAGGCGAAATAAAGAGGAGGATGACAAGGGAGTGGAAATGAACACCTAGGAGAAGGTGAGGAAGATACAAGACTAAAAAAGGGTTCCGAAGCAGACCAGTGGCATCACCGCACAAAGTATGGAACACACACAAGCGCCTAGGGCGACGGCGCGTGGGTCGCGCCTCGCCCCATCCCTTGCCGATCTATGGCGGGGAGTCGGCCCCAAACCCCGCCTGAAAAGCCTGGATGATGTCTACACCCTTCTTGGTGAGGGGAGGCGGAGTTTCCCGAGCTCGGCCCTTCGGTCCTGAGCCCACCCTCCATATGCCACACACAAACAAACTGCTGGACCGAACTCCGTGTCTCGATCCCAAGAATCTGAAAACCACTGCTTGCCATCGCACCAACAATCGCAACAACCGTGTGAACCTTACAATGATGCAAGACATGACTCAGAAACGTCTGAAATTCTTCACAGCCGTCCATCTACGACGACCCCTCAATGGGCGCTATCTGGAGACAACCCGTGCCATGGAGCCCGATAACATAGGGATCAAGGCGTGGAAACAACTAGAACGCTTCTCCTGAGCACGCTTGCGATTGGATAGCCTTGCCCGCCGACGACCTTTGGAAAACAGCAGAAACACTGCACTGGCTAATCCATTAAATAAATTGCACGCGCCCGAGCAACATCCTACGCCATAACGAATAACATATATATTTATATATGTGTATATATATATATAGATGGATCGGTCCGGGGATGCATATCGAGAGCTATCTCGGCATGAGCATCGGCGAATTTGCTGGCCAACGCATGCCTGACCTCATCTCCCGTGGAATCAACAATCACCTCATCGGATAGGTGAGCCGTCACATGCCGGGTCAACGAGACATTGACAATTCTGGGCAAATGACGGAGACGCACATCCAATTCCGACGAACTTGGTGGTTGAGCGAATTTGCTCCTCCATGTTTGCTGTGCCCGTGCCCGACCACAACAGATCAGAGAGCCGGCCTGACAACTCATTGGACACATGCTCCGCAAACGCAGGGAGAGCATGCTACGCATGGAATGACATGAGTAGAAGATGAGGTGTTGGATCCGTGAGTGGATCAGCCTAGACAGTATGAGGATCAGAAGCTATGATGCCTCTGTTGGTTGTGGGTCGGCTATGATGCCAACCAGTGCCCACCCCGTCCCGTCTCCAGGGACTTCGCATCCCCCTTTGATGGCGGGATGGGGAGACGGTCCGCCACCCCCGGCACTGCACGTACTGTGCCGGGTTCGTGGGGATTGTGTTGAATTCAATGAATGTCCCCTCCCTTCCCCCCCGTCCCGTCCCTCTATCTGCATGCCTGGTCCTGCGGGCGGAAAGGCCAGAAACGTATACACAGTTTTGACTCCGAGTCCCGGTGGCGATCCGAACCTGCAGGAGGGAGATAAATTGTAACACGCCGGAGGTCACTTCCTCGACCGTTTAGATTGCCACCAAGAGTTGGCGGTGGGGAAGCCCGGGGACCCCGGCAAAACCAGCCAAACGATAGCGGATGGGCCGGCACGCCGGTTTTAAGCGGATAGGCCGGTACACCCAAAGTTCG